TTTAAATGAGCATATCGTGTGGTAAGCCTATCGTGACATTCTAATTATATAACAACGTGCTATCTTAGCTTAACATCACATACTTTCAGCTGTACGTGGTGTAATTTTAAATGAGCAAATTGTATAATAAGCCTATCGTGCCATTATGATGATATAACATCGTGCTGTGTTAGCTGAACAACACGTACTTTCAACTGTACGTCGTGTAGTTTTAAATGAGCATATTGTATGGCAGCTTTCGTGATATTATTATGATATAAGATATTGCTATCATAGCTCAACATCAAGTACTTTCAACTGTACGTCGTGTAGTTTTAAACGAGCATATCGTGTGGTTAGCCTATCATAACATTCTAATGATATAACAACATGCTATCTTAGCTTAACATCACCTAGTTTCAGCTGAAAATCATGTAGTTTTAATTGAGCATATCGTGTGGTAAGCCTATCGTGACATTCTTATGATATAACAACGTTCTATCTTAGCTTAACATCACGTACTTTCAGCTGTACGTGGTGTAATTTTAAATGAGCAAATTGTATAATAAGCCTATTGTGACATTATAATGATATAACATCGTGCTATCGTAGCTTAACATTACAAAATTTCAACTGTACGTCGTGTAGTTTCAAGTGAGCATCTTAGCTTAACACGTTGTATCGTGTTGTTTTAGGTCAACAAATTGTATGGTAAGCCTTTCGTTTCAATATAGTGGTGTAGCATCATGTTATCTTAACTTAACATCATGTACTTTCAACTGTGCATCATGGTGTTTTAAATCAACAGATTGCATGATAGACCTATCGTAATATCACAATGATATAACATCGTACTATCTCAGCTCAACATTTATTAATAACAAGTCAGCACCATACATTTTAGCTATTCATTTTATTTGTTATCATAGCTATCGAAGTGGACGACTGAGCAGTATCCATCTGCAAGCTAACATCATGCAACGTCAACTTCACATCATGTACTTTAAACCCAACGTTACGTGTGTTTGGCATATCATCACAACATCGTGACTTATCATTATACTATCACGACTAAAGCACTTGTCATTGCAAGTCAACATTGCGCAAATTCAACTTAGCATATTGTAATTTAGAGTTAGCATTTTGATGACTCAACTCAACATCACGCTGTCTTAACTTTACATTTTAAGCTTCAGCATAACGTTTTGTAAATCTCTAATATATGACAGCTGAGGCTTTCCATATACATTCCTCTGTGTTTGCGCTACTTCCACTTTTATCAAAATGTGGGATCTGCTTGTTGATGTGTGCACTTCCCGAAGACTAACTCTCTAATCCGAGGTAGATCATATTGAGTTTGAATGTACAATGCATTCTGCTGTTACACAAATTTCATGCTGCTACAATCAGTTGTTGCAGGTTTCATTTAGGACAAAGTTCAAGGTACTCCTTTAACTGGCCACCCGCTGATTGATACTTCGACACAAACGAAGTTTGTGTAGATAAGATTGAAACAACAGCAGGGGTCCAGATAAGGTACTCCTTACTTATTTTCTCGAAAAAGTAATAATTTATTTTTTCCGGAATCGTTACTATTTTCTCGGAAAAGTAAGGTATTTATTTCCGGAAACGTAGACTTTTTTTTGCGGAAACGTCATCTTTTTTTCCCGGAAAAGTAATGCCAATTTGCGGAAATGTAAAACGCCGTTCCTCGGACCAGATTGCCTAAAAAAAATCATGTAAAATGTTTTCGAGTACTGTTTTTAACTGTGTTATAACCTCAGGAAATGTAACATATTAATATCTAGTAATCCTACCAATCAGAGTTCCAACGGGTATTATCTGTTCATCAATTTGGTGTTCCGGGACTGACATGATTTGTCTTAATTTGTGGAGCACACACAATTAAGACGTTCAGCAGTTATTATACGAACACAGATTCCTTTATACACATATATATATATATATCTATAAACAAGTCTAAATTGAAAACAACGTACAAACCTATGATTGCGTTGGATAAAAACCGCAATTTTTATACGTGTGCATGCAAAACAAATTTCTAGTTAGAGGGGTCTTAATACAGCACAAACAACATTTTCCAAAAGACCAAAAAAGTGAAAAAGTATATTTTAACAAAACGCATTTGACTAACAGGTCGAACAACAAATGTTCTTAAACCCTGCTGACTGCCATTGGCGATTGCCAAATAAACGGATCACCGATGTAATAAATGGATCTTAATTATAAATTTAATATCTATATATATATATATAGCATGAGTTCGAATCCCGGCCAGGGAAGAACAAAAAATTTGCTTCCGCAAATTTACAGATCTAACATTGTTGGGCTGTTATTTAGACGAATTATATATATATATATATATACTAGTCTAAATTGAAAACAACGTTCAAACCTATGATTGCGTTGGATAAAAACCGCAATTTTTATACGTGTGCATGCAAAACAAATTTCTTGGTAGAGGGGTCTAAATACAGCACAAACAACATTTTCTAAAAGACCAAATGAGTGAAAAAGTATATTTTAACAAAACGAATTTGACTAGCAGGTCGAACAACTGATGTTCTTAAACCCTGCTGACTGCCATTGGCGATTGTCAAATAAACGGATCACAAGATGTAACAAAATAGATCTTATTATTAATTTATTACCAAACAGAAAACAATAAACTTGCGGAAAAGATGGTATACCGCAAATATGAGGTGCAAAAATTTGTACACCATATCCGGATTTCGACAATTAATGTCTCTTCAGTGATGTTAGGAATCGAAACGGTATTTGGAAGGCCATATAATTTACCTCAATTTAGGATAGACATATATATATATATATAAGCAATAATTTATCGTATATACTTTACCCATTTTCAAACCTAAAAAGTTTAACAAGTATAAATAACCAAAAAATTAACGAAATAAAAGAATATACTATTAACTTGTGTATGTAGCGACATTTAAACTATGACAAAATGATTTATTGAAGCTCCTGAAATAGACTGTAATTGAACCATACACTGACATTTAACACTTCTATTAGTTGTGTTTTCGTAAAACTAGATATATGTTGATGGCATTATTGTACAATAAAAACAATCAATTAAAAAATCACATGCAATCGGACACGAATTCGAAATTATAGCTTTGCATTTAAAATTTTGTAAAAACAACATAAAAACAGATACAAATATATTAGACACAGGGCATGAACGTTTCCGCATTTAGCTGACTTTCAAACATCGAGTACTGTATTTTATCATTTCATTCTCTATTTTCATGTAAATGTTTACAATTTTATTTTTATTACTTAACTGGTTTTTGTGGACCACTTGGAAATTATTAGAGTTGGGTTTTGATTGTGTGTAATGTCCATCCAATTCAAACTTAAGAGCTTGTCAGTAACTTCATAAATCAACCAGTAATAACACTTTTGTAATAATTTCAACCTTGGATCAAATATTTTTGAAACTTACTTTTGGGACTAACATATGAAGGTGAACTTTAGCTTAGAAACCTTGTACAGTATCAGCCTACTATATAGAAAACCACATCTAATCAAGAATCGTATTGAATATGCATGAAATATTTGCCACTGGACGTTCAGCAAACAACAATCATCATATAATAAAGTAACTGCATCGGAGCATGAAAACGTATGTGACAGAGAAAAATTTAAGGAAAAACTAACATACACTAAGAATAAGATGTAAAGTTTGTGTATTGCCTCATTCAGGATTAAGATATGAATTTTTAACTCTCAAATCGAAACAAAATTTGATTTAATCAAGAGTTATAACATTCTGTTAAATGAGTATTAAAACATATTTAGTTTTATATATATATAAATATATTTGATGACGCTGGAAAATATTTTAGAAATATTGGTGTTATCTTTTAAGCGTTGTAAAGAAAGATTGTGCAGTGAAAAACTCGGCTGTCGCTATATATATGGCAAACTCAGAGGAGAAAATACAAGCTCTTGTTGAAGCATGCTAAGCCGATTGTAAGCAAACTGACAATGTCCAAAGTTAAATCGTCTCATTTTATATACATGTAGATTTAAAAACTTTAGGTGGTCCGATTAAATGTTTGCTTCTTAAAATAAGACGGAAAAAAATGTATCTGCGGATTTAATTATCTTTTAGTTTTTCGATATATTTTCATGAACAAAGTTTTAATGTTGATATATGTCATGAATTTTCGTTTTATGAATGGATATAATCCAATATGTGTATCTTTTTAAAACCTTTTCTTCTTTAGTAAAAAGAATGAATGCACATGCTCCTTTGATAGTAATTCTATCACTTGATCCATATTTGTTGGCTTTTGGGTTACAAAACAATGAACTAAATGTACCCATTATTGTAAAACAAAAACATTAAAGATGTCAACATTTTTGTTGATTCATTGTTTTCATACTATGATAAAAGGGTAAAACAATGTACAATTGAAGTATACCACACATGCTTCTCTCCGCTTGTTACAAATTAGTTCAATTTTTTTTCTACTGATATAGAGTGTCAAACGATTGTAAACATGTGCTATACATGTATTACTTTGAACCGCCTTCTGGTGAGAGGAATACAATTAACCTTAATGTTTTCAGATTTCTGTGAAAATACAGATGGTAAATAAATTTTGCTTCCTGGCGGAATATACATCAATATTACGTTTCTGTAAAAATATAGAATGTAAATAAAAGTTACGTTCTGTAGACTATACAACATTACATAATTCATTAGTCTCTCAATACATGTATTTACAGTTTTTTAGATGACTTGCATATTGTGTCAAATTATTGACATGCCATTCATCGCATATTCTAAAACCTAAAATTTTCTTTTCAAACGCATGTAAATTGTATGACAAGTCTTATACTATAAACACTCTTCGTGTAATTGGATTGAATTTAATAGAGTGTTAAATTATAAGGATTATAATAATTGAGACCTCAATTTATCATTGGTCGTTGATTTGTCAAAGTTTCATTGTCATTAGTTAAATATCACAATTTTAATCGTCCTAAGATAAATACTGTCTTGATATAAAAGATTTATCTGGCAAACGGTCCATACTTTAAATCGTACATATTCATTGTTACAAAAATACAGACCACGGGGACGAAACTTGCATTGAAACAGATTCATTATGTGAATAATTCAATGGTGAAATGGCATCCTTTTAAAGGATTATAATTGGAGATGTTCATTCTGTGAGCAATAAATAGGTACTTTACATTCTTTTTACAATAGATATAAGTATTCTTATATTTTGGCCAGATAGGCCAGAGAGGATTATATTTCCTTATAACGGGTCAAGATATGAATTATATATATACGTTAAAACTTTAAGAAGATTAATGTGTTCTACACAGAACTTAACGAATCAGTTTTTTAACGTGACATTGATTACATAGATTAGAAATTTGGATATGAATAGATCTACATTGTAATAAATGTAAGTATATTTTCATGGATTTTTCATTCACAGAGTTACGTATCTTAAATAGTTTACCTTTTAAATTTATATTATTTGGTTCAAAATCGGTGAAAAGTGAAATAACTAATTTTTGATCATGAACTTGCTTGTTAAACTTCCATAAAGAATTCAAAAAGATCGTTAATACAGCCAACAGAGCGAGAAATGATACTTTGAGTTTTGAAATATTAACTTTTCACCGTTCATGGTGTTTAATATAAATAATACGTACAAGGATAATCCAACTGTAGTTGGATAGAAAACTTGGATGGGAAAATGTGTTTCCACGAAGGTAAAACCTTAATTAAAATTATTGAAGCATGCATTTCACATTGTATTGTATTTTTTTAATTTCCGTTCAATTTTGTATGCACAAGAATTTGTTGACGAGAAAATCTGACATTATACTTATACCTCTATTACCTCAAACGAACTTATAACATTGAAAGGTCACAGTAAAAATGATTCTGCCATTGTGAAGCTCAGTTCTTCTGTGACGTAAATTTCTTTACTCACCCAACTCACCATCATTTGCCATTGGCTGTCAAAATTTAACATCTTTGTATCATGTGGTGTGTTTTATGTTTTTTGTAATAATTTTTGGGTGCATATAGCGTCGATCTTATGAGTCAATACTTTTTCAACTAGTTTTTATGTTTTTCTTATGTTTTGCTGTAACACCACTGTCCAAGATAAGAGGGAGGGTTGAGCGCGAACTATCATGTTTAACTCTCATTCTGTATGTACCTGTCCCAAGTCGGGAGCCTGTAAAGTCAGTTGTTGTCATTGGTTGCTGTCTGCCCTTATTTGTTGTTTATATCATTAATCGGACCGTTGGTTTTCTATTTTGAGTTGTTTTGTCATGCTTGTGCCTTTTAATGACTTACTCTACGTAATGCTATTGAACTTGCTAATTGTTGAAGAAAGTACAGTGAGTATAGTTTCACTTCCAGTTCCCTTGGTCTCTAGTGGCTAGTTGTCTCATTGGTACTCATACGACATATCCTTTTTTGTATATTCACGTGCAGTTTTATGTTTGCCACAACCTTTTGTTTTCCAGTCTTTTTAATGCTTTGATTTTTTTTAAATGAAAATAACACTTTACAATTTCGTGCGTCCAATATCGCTTTTTTGGATTTACTTTCATCATTAACGCTCAAATCCCAACATTTGAAACGCAGGGATGTTTGAATACATAGAAACGTTAGGAGCAAAATGACTAAAGAAAATTATTTTGGCTTTCTCGACAGTATAAATAAAGGAAGATGTGAGCTATACGTCAATGAGACAGTAACCTAAAGACACAGATAAACCAAATGACATTAGTCTTCCAAAGTTTTCTATACAGTAATATTGATATAAAACGACAATTTAAGTATTGCAGTCACAACCCCGACTTTATAGATTGATGTTTCTTCATCTTTATCTTCTTCTTATTCTTAATTATAAAAGCTTGCTTTCCGATAAAACCTCAAAGGCCTATGGAACTAAAAACAAATCTAGTAATAGTTAGAAGAATGCACTTTTATTTCGGGTATATCTTAATGTGTCGCTTAAAGTCGGTTCGCTTGTGACCCCACTTTGAGACCCTATAGTATATGGCATATTCGATACCATTATGTTTCTAGGAAAGAATGGCTTCCTGTTATCATTATTAAGGAGCCTTTTTTGGTAGAACTAATATTCCTTATTCATACTGTAAGCATCTTGAGGAAATAACTCTCGATGGTGTCTTCTACATATTTGGATACGATGCAGCATACACAATCTGTAATCACGACGTTTTAGTTGCAGCTAGTCCTATCCGAGATTTTCCCGCATTTTACTGACGCATCTAGTTTGCTCTTCCTTTGATTAATTCAAGCGAATTGAAGCTGTATTGGATTGATAAGTCTCATACAGTTGAGACTTCCAGTCTATTGCTGTAGACTTTATGTTGAACACCTCTATGTCTTTGTTTTTGTGTTTGTTGTTGTCTCATTGACGTATACTTAGTTATATATCTATTTGTCTGGACCTTTATTCGAGATTGTGAATCACAAATCCTAGACCTGAGGTCCCTTGGCTAGGTTGTGTTATTTTCCTGATAGTTATTTCGACTCTCGGGTATTTGGTCATGTCGCCGGTTCTGTTTGATGTCCATGTAAATGAATGGTGTATGCAATCATTGTTCTTAGCTGGTAAAGGTATATTATTTTTATGGTTTCAACTTTCACAAGTCATATATTCTCCAAACCATTAAATACATTGTTTTCTGTAAGCAAGTACTATAGGTAAGGCGGATTTTTTTTTCTGTGAAAAAAAACAATTTTCAGAAACGAGAAGATCTGCATAGAAATCAATTACGTCAGGTATATCTGCCACATATAGCACGAAAGTTATTCGATCTACAGATATTGTTGTTGATTTATATATTTTTACATTTCACGATTTTATTACCATTTCGAGTCGTTATCGGTCTAAACCATACAAAAATACTATAATCCTTTTATTTGCTCTAATTTTTAAAGATTTGTATCTGTCTTTATGTCCAAACATTGCGCAACAAAGAATATGTAGATAATTTGACAGATAGTTATAGCTGCCAAAAGCGACTCTTGACAAACATTGAAAAAGAAAGACCTTTTAATTCGTAATCCCCCGCTTTTGGCAAAACGCGAAATTAGATTAATTTGTACCTTTATATTTTGAATAGTTCAATTACAATTGGCAATCAGACTTTTCATTTGTATCAACTTTTTATATTGTTATTCGGTTATATTTGGATCTTTGAAATGTTCGGATGTGAATAAAATATTTAAGCTTTCCAGCGACTTGGACTTTATATGATAGACAACTAGTTTTCCCCGAAACAAATGTATGACCGAACCGACAAGCAACCTAGTCATATCTATGTCAGGAAAAAATACATAAATTGTATCATCATGATGATATTCCTGAGAATTCATCGTCATGTTTTCCTTTCGCGTCTCCTAATACCACTTATTACTTCTTGTTTGAGGGGAAAGACTTTGCCAATGTGTTGGTGCGAAAGTTGAACAGAAATAATGAGTGTTGAACCTTTTCAAACATGAATGATAATAAAGATATTATTATTGATTTTTTTCCTTAAGACAGTTCAAAGTATCAGAGAAACATCAAAATTAAACAATGATCATTGTAGTTATATAAATTACTTCAAAACAAGAAGTTTAATGATATATGAATTTACATGTGTTGTAAACATGCTGGGCATAAAGTTTTGAAAATACTATATCCCCGTCGTTATCTGTTCGCATTTAGTGTCACATGTTAGAAGTACGATTGTGAGTTCTAGATATGATAGACTGTCCATATAAACACTAAGCTGGATTGGTTTTATGTTTATTATGATTCTCCACATTTCATTTATATCACCAATCACAAAATCTCATGAGCATAGTTTATATTCTAAATTTTGAGAACAGTTGTTCGCATTTATCACCATAGAAGTTGAGTATCTTCGATGCACATTATAGCACAAAGGTCAATACTTTACTTTGCAACTTCTTAAAGGATATCTCTTCGCTCTTATCCGTGATTTGTATTACTTACTGACTAGATGGATAAGTTTGAAAAAGTCAAAGTCGCTGTCGTTTGAAATTCTTTCTAACCACTGCAATGGTTCAGTCCTGTATGTTTTGCGACACTACACTTACATTGTTCCAGACAGTTTTTTAAGTGAAGGCTATACATAATCTGCCGAAGAATAAAAGTTTGTAATTATCAATAAAACATTCAATTTGAAACCATCCAAGAAGGGTGGTACACTTGTTTGACCTTATTCGCCACTGGACTTTAAAAAAAACAACAATTAACTACCTAATCAATTCCAACTGGAATAGGAATCCATTTAAAGGAAAAACCAGTCAGTGCCCACAAATAAAATTGCTTAAGAACTCTACCACTGTTTTATCGTGATATTTTACCGAGTTTAAAATATGTAACCGTGCTTTAAAATTAATCTGTAGAATTGTCAACGCATATTCATCAAAATTGCAGCTTCAATGAAATTTTGGACGATGATCTGAGTAAAATGTCAAAATTATATTCTCTAGTTTAACCAGGAAGTGTTTAAACAGTATTGGTCTCTTATATCCCGATCACGACATTTCAAGATTTTACCAAGAAACCACGAAAGGCAATACAATTATAAGTTTGCAATTAGAATTTTGCACTCAAATTTAGAAAATTAAAAAAAATGTACTTCCATTATGATTAAATTGTATTGAACGAAAGTATGAAATAAATGAATCCTCAATCAATATAACTAAAATTTAGAGTCTGATTTCATTATCCTCATATGAGCACGCGAGTTGTAATAGATCTGAATTTTAATCAGATTTAATCCTCAATCTAAATAACTATACCTTTGAGTCCACACGTCCACAATTGGACCAGTCCGTGTATTAATATATACGTACAGCCAGACGTACATAGCTACATGTATTCATACATCCCTTACATTTACCAGGCAAGAACATTTAAATGTTCTTCCATTATAAAAAAAAAATTATGGATCGAACACAGGACATAAATAGGTCCACAGTGTACCTTGGAGTCAGCACATCCTCAATTAGACTTTGCTGTGTATTAATACAGGAGAACGTAGATGTGTATTCATACATCTCGCGCATTGTTAAGCCAGAATATTTTTTAATTATTCTTCAATTATGATCTAATTTTAAGGATCAAAGGTGAGAAATAAATGGGTCCTCAGTCCAAATCACTATGTAACTAGGAGTGAAACGTGTTCAATGGAAGTGGCTATGTATTCAAAATACATCCAGACGTACTACGTGTCATGAGTAACACAATAGTTGTCACCATTGAAGCACCAACTGCTTCCTCTCCCGAGAAACTGAGTTCGACCCAGATATCAAATAGGTTTGGTGGTGCTCAATCTTTAGTTTTCTTTGTATGTTGTGTGAAATATTGCGTGTCTTTTCATCTTGTATGTT